TGTCCCAGCCGTAAAAAACAGCATAATCAGAGAAATGGAAGCAGAGTACGCATAATGCGAATGCACCACCTACCAGCAACTGCATCCTGTTTTAAACGAATAGCATCTCGCTCGGCATGAGATCGCTTTGAGACGAAGGCGTCCGCATACTCATCGTCCACGTTATGCCTAGACTACAAAAGGGAACCAGAAAAATTAAGTCTCCATATTGTCGTGAATTGTATGAAAGAAAAACCGTTCCTACTTGATGTTAAGTGAATAAAAATTAGTGCTGTTCAGATGAATTTCGTTCCTTGGAATTCAATAGTTATGCTTTCACGAATAATGAGCAGCACTAAAGATAATAAAAACAACTGAAAAGCATACGAAGGTGCTAGAATTAATACCACACACAGCTCGAATACAAAGTAACTAGACAAAAATAAATTGAATATAACTATGTAGAACATGGTTTGACGAATGTAAATATACGTAAAATGAACGACCACAAAATACGCGATTGGACCATCGGAAATGCCGCTCATATAACCGGTAAAGCAAACCGAAATGGCATTGTGGTTGCGATGTGCAGTGCTACCACGCCCATAACGTAAGAGATCAGGGGCGCACGAAAATGCATAGTAAATGGTAGTAAAAACTGATTTGAACTGAACAGTCAGGTGAGGAAATATACATAAGTGCGAAAGTAAACATTTCAGAAAAAAATGGCGAACTTTATCAGGACCACAATTCGCAGTCCAAACAGACTGCATCACGGCTATTACAAAATCGGAGTTAGGCTACAGAAATAGTTGAATGCTTCACGTGATATTTATCAAAGGAAGAACGTTCACAATTTACGATTTACGGGCTTTGACCATCAGGAAACCATAAAGAACAACGAAAACCCAAAGCGTAAATCGGAGTCAATCTAACTGACCTTGGCTGCCATTTTTGTAAACTCATATTCCATATCATGGGCGGATCGAAACTGTTCTTCTCGGATAAGCTCGTTCAAACTCTTTGACGTGTTATCCTCAGGGAAATAGGCCGTGCGCTTTCCGGTGGAATCAACTGAATTAAACTTCTTTGCCCTGTTCGCGGTTTGAATAGAGTACACATAAAAACGGTCGAGTGAGAGTCATGACCGGTTATCAAAAACTGAAAAGTTTATCAGCGCCACCATACATGGGTCATGAGACTGAGAATTTCGACAGTCACCAAGAATAAAACTAGTGACACTAGTGAAAACCGAAGATTTTGTCTGCAATAGTAATAACAAACTGTACTTTGTTGAAGAGCGCTGAGTGCGATTACGGAAATTTTGTAATAATGCAAAATCCAGAATGAAATCACCAGTGACAGGATGTCTAAATCCAACTAATAACCGAAATAAAAAATGAGATATCATGCACAAATTTGACGGAATATAAAACACATTTTCGTTCCCAAGAAAGGACAGCTCACATTGCATCGTTGTAAGTCAGTATTGAATCACCGTTTCTAGCCCATCATTTTGCATTATGTTTATCAGGTGGCTTAGGTGATTTGGGGAATTTTCTACAACCACAATGCAATACCTCGACCATCCACTGTGTACTAAATGCGGGATTCTTCCGTCGATTTAGATCAAGTTGCTCATCGATATTGGGTCTAAATAACACTGGGCACTCCCCTTGCGGACGTAATCCTCCTGTCTATTCGTGCCTTTTGGCCCCAGTTGCAACTTTTCCGCGTAGACAAATACAGTAGACCCTTTTCATCTTGCTATCAGGAGAAAATTTTCGGTACTTTTTGCAATTATACAAATAGTTAATTGTATCTAGACAAGAAAGTATATTGGGAACAGTCCGAAACAAGTGGAACAGTGTATTTTTGCAGTGCTTCCGCTTTCTGAATCAACCACGGTAAAAAAAGAACGCGTGTACAAAACTACGGGTTAGATGAATAAGAACCCCGATTGAAATCATCAGAGCAGAGACGAACCAACTTAATTTGCCAGATGAAGCAACAGTGACCACCAGCAGCTCCTTCAAGGCCTATAGTCTGATAGGAAAACTGGATGATCCCTATACCAAGTTAAGAATCGCGAATTTATGACAATGAATGAATGAATATACAGTGGGTTGACCAAAGAAGAGCATCGTCAACGTGATGAACGTTTAGAATGAAGACTTCTCCGAACGTGAGTCTCTATCAGTTCTATTAAGGTCTTCAAACAAACGGGCGAACTTGACAGTCAGAAATGCGCGGCATTAGTCGAATATGCAATGACATCAACTTCTGTGCCTTTGGGACGATTCAACAAAAACTGGACCGGAAATAAGATTCCAAGTTGTTACAGAGCTCCTAGTATGACGCCAGTTCCAAAAAAGGGTTCCTCAAAACTTTCTGCAAGTCATGCATGTGCAGTGACACCGATTTCGAGCTTGGGGCGTTAAGGCTCATCACGATTGCTCTGTCCCTCTTATATTCAACCTGTATTTGAGTGAGGAAAGCAGCAGTGATTTACTCTCAGGTAACAATTTACCGAGACAAGACATTTTACTACTCCGTGAAGATGCAGGTAATTTTTAAGCCTTTCCGGATGGTTCAAGTGGTAGCATAGTATGCATTTTGCGCCTAGAAAGTGTAAAATGTTGGTACATGACTGGGGCGGTTCAACTGCCAACTGCATACCAACTGGGGAAGCAATAAAGAATGCAGATAAAGTTTCGCAAGTTGAGTCGCTATTTCTCACCTGATGGCCAAATCCCGGTAAGCATACAGAAGGCTCAATCGGAATTTATCAACTTAATAGATCTATGTGCAACCACAATATCCACCTGTCTGTGAAGGTGTCCAGTGTATGTTGCAGTTGTTCGGCCTGGCTACTACATGGTGCATAAACTTGGCTTCCAGGAAGATCACAGACAATGAGCGATATGCATTTATGATAGGTAAGTACACTAAAACCACCTCAAGGATGTACGGTTAACGGATGAATAAATAAAAATGAACCCCGGGTTGACACAGTTCTATATAGGAACAAAACTGTCAAACCAGTGTAATGGTCTGATGTGATGGATATGATTGTTGGGTTGTGATTTTGCGATATGTGGTTTGGAAATGAAAGAGCAGCTTTTCGTTGTCATTGTGCTGTTTGGAAATGCTCACAATGGATGGATTGAGTGAGCTGTTCCATTTCAGGTCTGCGCCCCCCGGTCACGGTCGTTGCAGTTGGCTGTCAGGTTGAGGCCAGGGTAAGCGAAGTGACTGAACGAATCGCTTTCGAGAAAAAGGATGGATTGCGTAGGCGAGTGGTCACCGCCTCGACTGTAACAGGGTGCCGTTGACGAAAAGCTTTGGATGGTTTTGCTGGTACTGACACAGCCGATCGAAACAACCGTGACGATTTGGGATGACCCAGGGGCGCAGACCGGAAATGGAACAACTCACTCAATCCATCGACTGTGAGCATTTCCAAAACAAAAAAAACTATGCCCCTTCATTTCCAAACCACATATCACAAAATTAGAATAAACCACTCATATCCATCACATCAGACCATTACACTAGTTTGACAATTTTGAACCCTATACATAAAACTGCACCAGCCCGAGGAAGAAGCTAAAGATAACAAACTATGTTCCCTAGTGTTTTCTTACTGTCAATAAAAAATGTACCCATTCAAGCTGAATGCTTACTCATACATGTTCCATGTCTATGGGGTCAGATTTCTCTCTGTGCATATGCTGTGGCACATTTGCCAGTTCTCTGTAATTGGTTTCGCGATGGGGTCAGCTGAACTATAAACTATCAGGCAGAATCCTCATATTGTAACTATCTTACAGTAACTCACGCGGTACTCAATTGATCGCACGGTTAGCTTCAGTACATATGCAAATGTTAAATCTTATCAATCAACGTCCTAGCCAACCCCACAGCTTTCAAACGTAAATGTGCAACAGTGTCGTCAACTTATCACACCTTCAACACTTACATGCACGAAACGCTGCATGCGATTCATTTCCCATAGGTGCTCGGTTGCTCTATTCATCGACCGTGCAACGGAAGGACTTCAGTTGTTTTCCTCCGATTGCTAATACTCGCAATGATTTTTTCTGTTTCAAAGATTCAGTTTTGAGGCTGGTAATGAAAATTCATCTCTAACGTTTACTATGTGAATTATGCCTGTTTGTGCTCCAAGGAACGAGAAGCGCAACAGCACAGAAAATGCACAGATCAAAGATATTCAGATATCCGATTGGGGCAAGGGATAGGATTTTTAGTCATAATCCACATAGTGTAACGAACGGTCGAAAAGAGATAAAGTCACGAGAACTAATCATGAGAACTAATGACCTAAGGTGGGAGACTCGGGGTCGTGCACTGCATAAGGCTTCAGTGGTACTGAGCTCGAAAAGAACGCTCAGAGGTAAAAGCTTCGAACCCAAGCGGAGATCGAATCCAGGGTAACATAAGTCTGCTGCGTCAACTATTCAACTAGCAAAGAGGCGTAGTGAAAAATATAAAACATTCAAGTACTACCAATGAAGCGATCGATAAATGCGCCAACACTGCGCACATTCATTTAGTGATTTGAATGTGTGCGACTATGGTAAGAGTTTCTAACGCATTCCACGAAATGCATAGAGGTATGAAACGGTCTTATACAAAAGGTAATTAACAGGTTAGGTTTGCATTACATGCAGCTTTGAACTGCGTGCCTTACATGACATCAGTTCCAAAATTAACCCACGATTACCTAGGCATCACATTATTAACATAATTTATCGACGGAAAAGCACAAGTTTAGTGGTTGAGTTCATGGTAGCGTTTTTGTGAGATAGACTTTGTCGACAATAATGCATGCGCCAACGTAACGGCAGGACGATAACAACAGGTTCCGGATGTGATTACCCCAACTCTCGGTCGGCTTAGAATGGGCGTTAAAACCTCAACCGAAAATTTACAAAGGGTTCCTCATTACAAGAGGAGTTTACATCACTGCCTTTAATTAGACGATTTGTTCATATATGCTTCCGGGAAAACAAAATTAAACAAAGTGAACTCAGTGGTCACTAAAACCTACTGATGAATTTCAGGAAGTGGAAATCAACGTTATGAGAAATAAAGTGGAGAATGATACGGGATTCCAATATCATCATCACCATCATCGTGCAGCGAAACACAGAGAAGCGAACTTCACTGATCGCTGCCAAACTCGCAATGCGTATGCACTGGGGCTTGATGGACGGGTAATGCTAGGGTGTACAGCCACTAAGCAGGAGATCGACTAGAGTTCTCGTCCTAAGCCTTTAGTTCTGACAAGAACCTAACCGCAAGACAGCGGGTGAAGCGAAGTGGAGGCACACTAACTTGAATCAATTACTCTTCCACCGCCTTCAACCTAGAGGACCAGCAGACTAGACTTCGTCCGACCTCAACCCGTCGACCTTCCAGGCATGATTAGATCTTCGGCTTGATAAAAGCCATCCTGCGTAGCTCGTTGGGTCAGAGAGGTGCACAAGCTATCACACCACGTCAAAGTGTAGTCTCGTCGTGACGGGTCCCAATAGAAGTGACAATAACGAATCGGCTCGCAGCAAAGTAACCAGGTTGGGTGGGGATGATGACAAACGATGTGCAGGATACGCCAAACCTCAAAAATGACAAACAGTTGGAGTAAAATCGGTTTGCTAAGAAGCGCAGAAGACATTCCTGATTATAGAAATAATACAACAGATTTTACTAATATGGATTTCAAACCGGGAATCAGCTCCGACGATCGAGTGATGGGTGAATAGTGGAATAAACATAGGAAACCTTATCTTCTGCAAGAACTATAGTACACGAATCGTGAGGCAACTTGAGGAGTGTTTGCTTGCATTGTCAAGGCACAACCAAATGACAGTGTTAACATAAAGCGATCCGATGCTTCAAACAGAGCTTTCAGCTGTCCAAGCGATGAGTCAAACGAAGGCCGGTAAGTGTAATTCATGAGCTGAATGAATCAGGTGGCAAGCACAAGTACATTAGGGTACAATGATTAACAATTAACCAATCAAATGTGCGAAAACAAGACCACCCAACGATCAGTCATCTCCATCA